ACTAAATATTCCGTACACTAACATCAACGGTCATATCAGGCCCACCGCAGAGCTTCTTCTCTTTCTCTTTCTCTCTAAAACACACTACTGACAAACAAAAACAAAATTTCCCAGCTCCCTCCCCCTCGTCCTTCCCCGAAAGCCTTGTAGATCTGTCACGCTCCTTCGAAGCCAAACTCCTAGAATCTCCATTCGAAACACTGAGTCAAAAACATCCTCAGGACCTCAGCTTAAGCTCTTAGAATGAGAACCAAAAACTGAAATACAGCCTCCAAAGCAGCTTCTCGGAAAGCAAGGATGCCTTCACCGCAAAGAACCCGCTCCCGACGGCGGAAATACTCAAGTCCTCGAGGCCGCCGGAGACAGAGCAAAGAGAAAACCCGACGGAGGAGACAAAGGAGTCTAGAGAGAGAAAAGACGTAGTCGGAAGTCTGTACAATTACAGAGTCAAAGACGGGAAAAAGAAGAAAATCAATTAAAAACCCAAAAATAAAAAATAAAAAATAAAAAATAAAAAATAAAAAATAAAATAGAAATTTCGCTAAACAACGTATTTACCGCCACCGCGAAGAAAACATAATCTCTTTTGGAATATTCACAAATAAGTAATTAAATTAATTTTCAATATTTACAATTTAATTAAAAAAAACCCAATCAAATATTTATATTCTAATCCAGTTGACTCTTAACATTTTTATTTATTTTTAATTTTTAATTAACCAAAGATTGATACCGTTTATTTTTTAATTTCACAAATTATAATTCAATTAAATTTAATTATTATACATCCCCTTTAATTAATAACACTAATGGTTAATGATTATATAATCACTTTATATAGTTGGTGGGTAAAAATAATAATTTTAAAGTATTTGACTCCAAAACTCTAATTATTTAACATTTACGTAACTAAACACAATTATCCTTTTTATTATTATTATGATTATTATTATTATTATTATTCCTTTTAAATTTTTTTATAAATGCAGATTAATTAATAAAATAATATATATCAAGTAGCATAAGGTCTTCAAATCACATTACTGAAGAAAACAACAGACTTCTTTATCCCTAGTGGTCCAATTTTGAACTTATTTTTAAGAATAATCCGGAAATATAATAATTATAAAAATATCGGGAGATCAAATTAAATTGTTGGAGAACAAATTCAAAGGTAATAATAGCACGTGATTAGTGGGAGTATCATTTAAGCTTGTTCTTCAAGTAATATACATATTCCTTATTAAAAGAACCAAATCTATTTGCCTCGGAAAATGGTATGGGCTTCTGATTCCAATAATTAATCTAAATTATTCAATTTGTAACCATTCAAATGTTCTTACTATGAAACGATATTTTATTGAAAAATTAAATTATGTAAATACATGGAAATAAAAAAAGTGCCGACCGAAAAGAAAAAGAATGTCGAGATAATGGCTAGAAAAAAACGTAAGACGATAAGAAAAAGGAGAAAACTTAAGAGAAAAGGAGGTTCCAAAGGCTAGCTTTGCGTAGAAGAAGCCAAATTGGGAAGAGGAGAGGGACCAACTATGCATTATCCATGCCCTTGATTTGACCCAACTATGCACATTCAAAACCCTATCTTTTTCTTTTTCCTTATTTATGTCGAGTTTAACGACACCGAGAATTGAAGATCGGACCATGTAACATTTCATAAACAGTCGTTCGTGTATTCTTGCAACATGTTTATACTTGTCAGCTTGTCTTTAAGTACTTTATGAGTGAAGATTAACATAGATCATGTGAGATCTCACATTGATTAAAGAGTAGAACGAAATTTTTTTTTTTTTTTTTTTTTTTTTTTTTATAAGAGTGTGTAAACCTCTCCTTAACAAACGTGTTACGATATATATCGAGCCATAGAGAACAATATCTGCTAGCGGTGAGGTTTGACTGTTACAAACAATATCAAAGCAGGTGGATTGCAAGATTCCACATCGGTTGGACGAAGAGGAGGATAAACATCTCTCTAACAGAAACATTTTAAAACCGTGAGACTAACGACGATACGTAACACAGCCTTTTATGTTAAAAAAGAGGGGTATGGTTGCATTTATGGAGCCCTAAAAACACCTGGTTGTTCCCTTTTTGTCCACTCTTTTTGATATTTTTTTCATTCCACTTTATTCCAACTTTTCCTATTATTTATTTATTTTTATTATAAATATTTATATTTAAAAATTAATTAAATTCATGCATATCTTATAGTATTTCATGACCGAGGAATTAAATGGATTTGGGTGCAATTCTTGTAAACCCACGCTTGCATGTGACATGTTTCACACAGTGCATCCAATTTTAATGATATGATTCATATCAACCATATAACTGTTCACCTCCAAATTTAATCTGCTTCGCATTTGTTAGAGAGGGAAACAAAATATTTCTTATAATCATGTTAGATGAACCCAACTCTTTGATTTTGAGCCTAAGCTCTCATGGCTTTGCTTTGAGATTCTTCAAAAGATCTCATGTCAATGAAGAGAGTATTCCTTAATTATAAACTCATGATCTTTCTTTAAATTACTCGATGTGGGACTTTCATCATCCAACACCTCCCCTCGAACAAAGTACGCTTTCCTTTAATCGAGACTCGACTCCTTTTCTTTTGGAGTTTTTTGTTCGACATTTGAGGATTTACCAATCTATTGACGCGACTAAGTTTAGAGCATGACTCTGATACCATGTTAGATGAACACGACTCTCCATAATGGTGTGATATTGTCCATTTTGAGCATAAACTCTCATGACTTTGCTAGTGTGAAAACCTCTTCTTAGTAGACACATTTTAAAATCATGGGGTTGATAACAACGATACGTAATGAGTCAAAACGGACAAATTATGCTAATAGTAGGCTTAGACTGTTACAATGTGGTATTAAAACCAAACGTAGGATTGTGAGATCTCAAATTATTCGTTATACATGGGTTGGTATTAGAGTATGGGTAGAGATGGGTTTACTTTGTGGGAACATAAAGGAGGGTTCCCCAATGTTGAACAAGAAACAAGGTGATTGGGAAGTGAGCCATCTTTTACTTTTGCTTTTCAGTTCATTCTCTAAAAGAGGTAAGGGTGGCCCCAAATAGAAGAATAAAAATAACACCCATTTTACCTTTTTACGATATTCTCTTACGTCGTTTGCAACATGCACATATATTGTTTACTACTTGTTTCTAAGAGTGAAAACTATCTCTATAAACCCATCTAAGTTTTTTTAATATGTTTTGTTTTCACTCACATGCATCCTATAATATTTTTTAAGAGGTTCTTAACATAGAATTGTTTCAAACAAAACATATTTAACTCTAAGGTTGAGCAAGAAAGAAAAATGTGCACTTTGTTAGTATAGACAGTGACTTTCAATTCTTTTAAAATTTTATTAGTTATCCTGGCATAATTTGCTGTCAAGAGCCTATTTTTGGCATGTCCACGTCACTTCTCTCTCTAAAATGGCACATTTTGGTAATCATTGGTAATAATATACCAATTGTCCTTAGCCATATCATTAGTGAAAAAAAAAGCCAACCAATTACGACTATACCATGATTGTCCTCGATATCAAATCTTAATGATTCAGTACATAAAAATTAATTATTATCTGAAAAGTTACTGTTTTATTTTTTTAAATTTGAAATATTTTTTTTAACAAAGAATTATAAAAATGTGAGTTTTATACTTTAATTTTAGTGTCACGGCATTAATTATTATTCATAAAAGTATACTAAGAAACTAAATACCACAAATTAAAATATAAATATGTTATTGATTATATAAATAGTTACACTCATTAATGTGGCCCAATTAGGTACCAAATCTGGCCCAAACTCAAAAGGCCCAGTGTTCGGCCCAAAATTTCATGAGTCCAGCCCAGCCCAGCCCAACACGCTGGGAAACTATTAGCTTACTTGTTTAATTAGCTTTAATAATTGATTGCAGTTTTGGGAAGTTGGGTAGTTGTCCGTCCGCCGCGTGGCAAGACTTGCGACTATCCGTCAAGAAAATGAAATTCCCTCCGATTACTTCCATTTCCGGCGAGAGTAGAGTGACAATCCCATACACTTCCAGTCGTGGAAATGAGGCTCTCCGCCACTCTCCGCCTCTCTCCGCCTTCCCATTCTTGTGTTTACGAGTTTCCCATTCTTGTCTCCCACTCCGATTCATTTCTCGCCGGGAATAGAGCCGCCAACGATCGTAATCACTTCCAGTACCCTCCTCCTCTTCCGTTTTCTTCTGTATCCTTATACATTGTAGAGCAAGTAGTCAAACTCGCCTCTAAATGCATCCCCATAACCTAATCCATTATGATGAACTTCTCCGGCGGCGCCTTCACATTCGACGCTGCCGTCAAAACCTTCCAATCCAGAGAGATTCTCCGGTTTTACAGCGGCATTTCGGTAGTCACTGTCGGAGTTTGGTAAGTCGATCTTGTTGAAATTTGATTACTCTTCTCTGTTTGTTCCTCCTACTGCTAGGTCTATGGGAAATATCATCTCCTCTGCTTTAATTACTCAGAGAATTCAGGTTGGGCCCAAAGGGATGTTGGGGGGTTTTGATTCGGATTCTGAAGAAATAGGGTTTGATGGGTTACTTTTGAAATTTTGAAAAAGTAGTTTCGAGACGCTTTTTTTTTTTTTTTTTTTTTT